ATTTGCATCTATACTTTTGACACTAGTGTAATGTAATTTGAAAACAAGTTACTTTGCAAGTCCCTGCACTCCTTTGCAACTGTACCTTGTTCTTTTCTGTCCAGCTAAACAATTCATTCCTATGACCTCTTGGTCTAAAACCTGAACCTTCTACTAAATACCTTCTTCAGTTGCAGCCACATGTGTGTAGCATGCTCAGGCTGCACCTCAGTGTGTTAGAACATTCGTATTCATTATTAGCTGCCTCCATCCATGTTGAGCACAGGCAAAGTCACTATGCATCAAGGAAAGAGGAAAATGTGATAAACTTGTTGAACATGTTGCATGAATGTCTATGACCTGAATTCACAATTTACTGTTCTTTGCATGGAAAATGTGGACACCTCTCTGCCAGGGAGCAGAAAAAAAAAATCTTGAAAATAAAATAATAAATAATAATAAATAAAAAAAAATCTTGTTATTGCTTCTACTTAAATGAGTGAATAAATATCTCAAAAATTGTTTAAATTTATTTAGAGTGTTATTTATTCTAATTTGATTATTGGATCAACTTAATCTTACTTTCAGTTAGTTTTAGAATGCATATGGATTGCCTTATTCTTGCAAGGAAAAAAGATGCACTTCCTCAAGGAAGAGAGTAATGCAAGCATCCACTTGATTCATCCACTTAACCTGGTACCATAATCTCATTTGTTAAACTGTAGAATGTTGCTGTCACTAAAACTTTTATGTAATTGCTGTGAATGTATCATTGTCATCAAAGTCAGTCTCACTGACTTTGTAAAAGTCATTATATATAGAGATATACTGTAAATACTTAAATGAAGAACAGGGAGAGTTCCTAATGCTGGGCTGGTAATTTTTCCTTTTTTTTCCTTTTTAGCAAACTTCTGAAGAGAAAGAAGTCTGAAAAAGGTCTGCAGGGAGTGACTGGAGAATGGTTTGAAGAAATAAAAAGAAGAAAATTTCAGAATTACAGTGATGTCAATAGACTGTTAAAACCACCATTAGAGCATCAGCTAAGGAAGAGCAAAAACACCAGTAAGTTGCATTTGTCCATTTCCTTATCTAAGGAAATATAATCTATTATTATATAATAATGGTCACCAAACCAATGTTTTACAGCATGTTAGAGTGTAATGGTTAAGGAGTTTTGCACTGAGCTTCTCGTATCATAGTTTTACCAAAGTTGTATGTTCAAAATGGGTATGTTTCCTTAAGCAGATTCTGTTAAAAGCAGAGCTGGATTCACAACAGAAAATCCTGATATTGTTATGCCATATGGAATCATAGTATGGCCCAGGTTGCGAGGAAATCAGAAGATCTTCAAGTCCAGATTTTAATAGGAAAGGGAACCTGGATGAGATTATTTAGCACTGTTTGTAAATTCACATCTTGTAAACCTCTAGTGATGGGGTCTCTGCCATATCCCTGAGGAGGCTGTTCCACTGATTAATTGTTCTTACTGTAAAAAAAAGTCTTTATTAATTGAAATAAAATTGGTATAATTATAGTAAATACAGTAGTAGTTTCCCAATCAAAGCAGTGATATCTACATTATACAAAAAGTTTGTGGTTTAACCCCAGCTGGCAGCAAAGCACTACACAGCCACTCATTCCCCCACCTAAGAGAGGGCTAAAAGTGAATTGAGGCAAAGACAGTTGATAGATAAAGCAAAAGCCACGCACATAAGTGAGCAAAGCAAGGCATTCATTCAGCACTTCCCACAGTAAGATGTTCAGCCATCTCCAGAGCTCCATCACATGTAATGGTGACTTGAGGAGACAAATGCCATCACTGTGAATGCCCCCCTCCCCTTCCCTCTTCTTCCCCTAGATTTTATACACTGAATATGATGCCATAGGGTATGGAATATCCATCAGGTCACCTGGAGCCAGCTGCCCCAGCTGTGTCCCCTCCTGCCTCTTTGTGCACCCCCAGCATCCTCATTAGTGGCGGGGCGGGGGGGAAGAGAGATACAGAAAAGCCTTGGCTCTGTGTAAGCCCTGTTCAGCAGCAAGGAAAACATCCCTCAGTTATCAACATTGTTCTCAGCACAAATCCAGAACATAGCCCCATATTAGCTACTATGGAAATAATTAACTATCACAGCCAAACCCAGCACATTCACACTCCTTGTTCCATACCATTTATATCACACTCAGGTTCCACATTATCCCCATTAACCACCCCACTGCTTTCATCTTGCCTCTGTTCCAGCTTAGACTTACCCATCTCCTGCAGTGTAGTCTCAGGGGTGTACCTGCTCCAAGTAGAGCCACAGTGTCTCCATGGATATACTTGCTGTGGCATGGACTTATCCACAGCCCCAGTGCATCTGAGGTGCACCTTTTCCAGCATGGCCTCCTCCATGGGCCACAATGCCTTCAGAAATGCACCTACTCCAACATGGCTTTACCCATGGCTGCAGTCCCTGCAGGGGAGTACTTGCTCTGTCGTGGTCTTACCCATGGCCACACACTTTGAGGTTCTCCAGCATGACCACATGCACAGCCACAGATGCTTCAAGGTGTACCTTCTATGGAGTTTTTCTTGGCCACAGTCCCTTCAGAGGTACACCATAACCATGGCACATAACCATTCCACTCTAATAAGCACAGGAGCCTGTCAATTAATAGCTGAACAGCAAGAACAGTGATAAATTCAGTCTAGCACATTCCACTGAGATCTGTCGTTATCTCAAACACTTTGGGCCCTACATAGGGCATCCTAAAGGACTCTTGTGGTTTAACCTCAGCCATCAACTAAGCACCACCCAGTGGCTCATTCAGGATGACCCTCATCAGGATGGGCAGGAGGCTAAAAGTGAGAGAACCTGTGAGTTGAGATAAAGACAGTTTAATAGGTAAAGGATAAGTCTTGCACATGAGGGGAAGCAAACTAAAGAATTAAGTTACCACTTTCTGTAGGCAGGCAGGTGTTCAGTTGTCCCCAGGAAAGCTGCACTCCATCACACACAATGGTTGCTTGGGAAGACAAACACGATCACTCTGAACATCCTCCCTTCTGTCTTTTCCCCTCAGCTCTATACTCTGAGCATAGTACTGTATGGTCTGGAATGTCCCTTGGGTCAGCTGGGGTCAGTTGTCCCAGCTGTGTCCCCTCCCAGCTCCCTGTGCACACTGAGGGTGGGGTGAGAGGTAGAAAGGCCTTAACTCTGTGTAAGTGCTGCTCAGCAGTGACTAAAACATCCCTGTGTTAACAACACTGCTTCCAGCACAAGTCCAGAACATAGCCCATGCAAGCAACCATGGAAAAAAGTAACTATGCCAGCCAAAACCAGCACCAAAAAAAAATGTTTTTTCCTAGTTTTCTTAAGAAAGCACCTAATGACATTTGGAATAAGTAGATGAGTTTGGGTGAGAAAGGTTAGAATACACCAGTGGAATTTTTTTTCTGGTAACAGTGGGCTAAAGGCATGCCAATGCTTGTGGCAGTGTCAAAGCCTGAAAAGTTGGCCTGACCAGGAAGCAATTTCTTGAGATCTCATTTCACAGGTTCTGATGCCCATCCAAAATGAACATGCAGAAGAAACATGGTGTCTCTATAAACAGCATGGTATTCTGTACAGTCTTTCATCTTCTATCCAGATAGAAGATACTATCCAGCATGATACATGCTTTTATTCCATTCACACTTCCGCATGTTTTCATTGAGCTCTTCCTATTTGTGCTTCATAGCAACTGGAAGCAGAGTCATGAATTTCAAAGAAAAGTGAAACCTTAAACATTTTACTGGTACTACAGACCTGCACAGAACAGATCTCAGTTTTTTCTGACCTTTTTTGCCCAACATCCCCTCTAGTCCTCAGCTACCTACTATTTTCTCTTTCAGAGATAGTCTGGTTGACTAAACTCTGTGTAATTGCTCTCTGGTATTTAACTTTGAAAACACCTGTTTCTGTTTCAGATCTGAAGAAGGGCTTGTGTGCCTCAGAGGCTTGTTTGATATTTCCAGCTGTATAAGCTGGCTAAATAAAAGGTACTACTTCTACCTGCAAGCCTTGCTGTGTCTACATCCCTAGACCATCCTGGCTATGGCAGAGTGCTATTAGGATTCTCTTGATGTCACCTGCTCTGTCGAGTCAATGCCACCAAGAGATTAGGCTCTGAAAGGATTAAAGAATGCAGCATTTTGAAGTACACAGAGATTGTCATTGAAGGAAAGGCCATGTATTACACATAGGATTTAAATTACATGACATGAATAATTTTGGACAATGTCCATAATGCTGCTCTTTGCTATTGTTATAAATGAGACTTCGCTCTAATTTCTGGGTTTGCTTTCTCCTACAGTCAATAGATAAGCCATTTTCAGGCTGTTGTATTGTTTCAGGCATGTGTTGCATTAAATGGAAAAGAAAAAAGAAATGCCTTGTTCCTGAGTGATGTCTTGTTTCCTCATATCCTCCAGTTCACTGTAGTGTGCTGCAGGTCCTTCAGTTTCTTTCCCTTATCTATAAACAATACTAATCCTCATCTTCCCACCAAGTGCCAGCCACTTTTACAGGCAGACTGAGTTTATGCTCTATTTGAAGAAAACAAGTCATAACCTTCCTAAAGAAATCATTCACAATATCTTGCATTGAAAATACACATGTGATATGCAGTTTGTAGCAGGAAAAAAAAGGTACCCCAGTGGCCACAGGAATCACATTGTAAGGAATTATATGATACAGAGAACACATTAGTCTGAGTTAGTGTTATGTAGTTACATTACAGTCAGGTCATTGTATATTCTGGGTTGTCACATTATATTTCTTACAAACGTAAAAAGAAAGTGAGTCGTGATTGTGGGTGCCTCAATTTTCAAGTGTTTGATTTGCCTGTATTTTAAAGCAGGTATAATTTTCAAGTGATTGAGTGCTGATTATTTTGTGAAAAGCAGCCTCATGTATCTCACATGCATCACCCAAAACAAATAATACCTCTTGAAACTTTAGACCTGTTTATCTTGCTCTGTCTTCTAGTTAGTCATTATAAACCAGTATGTCACACAGTCTGTCCAAAAATGTCAAAACTGGATTTTCCTGACATAAAAGGTAAGCAAAATAAATTTGTTTATGAAGACATAACATTTATGTATATTTTAATACTGTGTTTATTAAGAACTTGAAACAAATCAACTTTTTATCACATTTTTAGATCATAAAGAAATAAAAATGTCGTCCCGCACAAATCCTCAAGCACAAAAGACCACTTCAGCTTCCTTTCTGGGGTTCAGATCACCTTTTGCTTGGCTTTCCTCCTTTAGAAAATCAAGGAAAACTCAGACTCAGAAGCAAGCACGGTGAGCTATAATCAGAACATACATTATTTCTAGCTTTAAAAATGTCTATGAATTGTTCTGTGTTTTAGAACAAAGTTCTAAAGTTTTAGAAAACTCTGTTAAATTATTTTTCCAGTCTCTTGCTTTCCACCTCATTGGAAAGATTGGGCTTTTATTTGGTCCTGTAATGAGAGATTATCTGTATTGTGTCAGAAGAAAGAGGAGTAAGTCACAAGTAGTAGGTAGTCTCTTGGCTAAAGCTATTTTGTTCAGGTTTTGCATAAAGACTTTTAAATTACATGAGAGACTGTAGACTTAGGAGCAGTTGCATCCTATTTAATTCCCTCCCAAGAGGACACGTGGGGATCTGGTGCCCTATGGCTGTGATACAATAGGAAAGCACAGCTTTCCCAAGTCATGGCAGAGAGTACCAGCCCCAGGCAGCTCTGCTGCATCAGTTCCCACCACTTCTAGCCCAGAGGCAGTTTAGAGGCAGACCTGCAGCTTTAGCTCCAGCCAGGCAAACCGGACAGCTCTTGGCACTTTTGTCTTCTGTGCTTTGTCAGTGCTTTGATTTCAGTACTTTGGTTTGCTTTGGTTTTTGGTTCTGAACCAAAGACGGTCTCATACGCAGCTCTGGAGCTGCTGTTTGAAGAGCATCCTTCTTCTTTGCCATTCCCAGGACTGAAGGAGCTGTTCAGAGGGAAAGGGGTGGGGGAAGGCTACAGTCAGGCTGGTTAGGCTATCTGTTCTCTCTTAACTTTTGTCCTGTATGGCTGTATGTCAGCAACACGTGAATAAAGTCTTACTATTCTTGTGTGCATCTTAGGGTGATGCTTGGGACTGGCAATCACAGGTCGAGCTGCATTGTGCAGTGCTTTGAAATCTAAGTATAAAGGTGCAAGATCTTTGGTACAAAAAGCTGATTTTCACTCAGTGAGATTGGTATTCTAGTCTCTGCCTGGGGCTCCCTGCTGGCATGATGGTAAGACAAGGAACAGCTGTAATAAACAATGGAAGGGAATGAAAGCCTCTAAAGAAATTATGTTTAGTCTGATACATAGGTTTTGTAACACAGCAGCTTGCTATTGTACAGTGTTTGTATCAAAGCAGCAGATTTAAGGAGAGGTTTGAGTAGAGGCTGTGATGTTAGCTTTGTGGAAATTCACTGGTAACAATTCTCTTACATAACAACACAACATAGAGAAAGAATATGCAGTGTTAACACTGCTCCATACCTGTCATCTTCTCGTTCCTCTCTCTTGTGACCTCAAGAAATATAATGCCTCTCATCCTGGAACACAGAAATGCTGGGCTGCCATCTTCCCTGAAGATTGAAGGCACACTTGTGTAACTGAGAATCAGATTTCAAGGGTGCTTTATCCTGGTGCACAGTGAGGTAGCCAAAGCACATGCGAAGGTCGAGGCTTTGCTGTAGAATCTAAGCACCGGAATGATTTCTTAAGAAGGCAAAGAACCCAAACAGTGCCTACTCATTACATTAGCTTTTCTCGTGTGTGTTTATCTGGCTTTTCCATGGAAAGTCTATCGTATCTCAGGCTCAGATGCCTTTGATTTCTGACCGAGCACAACTTGAAAAATAAACAAGTCAATCCTGACGTGTAACTGAGCTGATTGCTACATTTTGTAGTCACGCCTCTCTGTTGAAAACTTCCCCCACCCTCTTATAGGTGTTGCCGTGGCATGTGGTTTGCTTTATGCATAGGCAAAGCACTGAAAAAATCTGGCTCTCACCAGGTAGAGTTATTTTGGAGAGCTAGTGAAACACTGTAGGACGCAGCACTGTAAATCCTGTAAGTAAGCGTAACTGGCAGAAGCTTTTCCATGGCTAAACATTAATGGCTGCTTAGAGGGTCCTTTCATTTCTGGAGAGAGAGTTTCATCAGCTGCAGTGGTATTTTACTGTAAGAATAAATGATGGATGCTGCAGGAAGGAGTGCGCTTACATGGAGTTACAGAAGATGGTAATAAAAGGTTTGTAACTGTAGTCTGAAGGCAGTGAAATGTTTGATCACTTTTGTTTCAAAGGTGTCAATGTTCTTGAATACATCTTTACTATTTTCTAATATTTTCTGGACAAAAATGCTGTATAATTGTGTTTTCAGCATATGTGAGTTATGTGTTTGGTTTTTAGTTGGCTTCTTATGTAGTATTGATAAGAATAGTATTGAAGAAAATGGATTATACTGACATTAGACAGCATGGTGATAGCCTGCAGAAGACAGGTGCCTTGCCTCTGTGGAAATACTAATTTGCAGCAGATTTTAATTCATGTTTTTTTATTATTGTTACCAGTAGTGATAGTCATCTTTTACTTTTAATCTTACATTTGATTGTCATTAAAGAGATACATATGTATGTAAGTGGAAAAGTATAAAATGGAATTTCTCATTTTCCATAGTGAGGAGTATTTTCCAGATGGCAAATATTTCTGAACTTGAACATCAATTTAGCTTCTTTCCTGCTTATGAATAATAGACAATATTCACAAGTATGCGCATATACATTGTGTGCAAAACAATGTAAGCATTGCTCAGTGTTGTTAGCCAAAAAAGAAAATGAATTACTGTTTTCTAAAATTAAGCAGTATTTCTCTGAAATTAAGAAAAACTTTAATTTTGAAATTCTAGAAAATTTAAAACAGTTCATAGAAAATAATAAGGCAGCAGTTTGGGAACTGCGGAGATTGGCATAGGGAAAAGATTAAAATAACCTCGTCAGTATAAGTTACCAGGGAGAAAAGTAAAGCAGGATGCAATGACCAGTTACTTCTGAGAGAACAGTGACAATAAAGACATAGATGAATTTAGAATAGTGCCAGAGGTGCAAATGAAAATTTAAATTTTGCCTAGACTATCAGAAGACATTTCTAACTGACATTTCTAACTAACGTGTCTACTTCACATAGGTTCATTGCAAGGAGCAATTAATACAGCATCAAGTGGGGAAAGATTTGTGCTCTTGTGTTTTGCCAAAGAGTGGCTTTGCACAGTAAAACTGAAGAAGAAAGCTTCTGACAAAGCTTTTGCATTTTTGTTATGCATATAAGTAAAACTAAGGTAACTTGCTAAGCCACAGGATTTTACTGAATTTAATTTGCAGGAAATCATTGTGAAAGCTCTGAAACTTAAGTTTCGTTGTTTTTTAGAAGTATTTAAACACAACTTTTTTTAAGTTTAAAAGAAAAGCTACATACATTTCTGAGCTCTGGTTCTGTAAACTTCATTCAACGGGAGAGGTAACCCTCTGATTTAATGGCTGTTTTTATTCAGAGCTACAAGGGAAAATTGGGAATTTCATTTTCAGACTGTCTAGCCAAATCCTAAGCCTGCTGAAGTCAACAGGCTTGTTTGGTTTCAGTTGGACCCCATGTCAGAGAGGAATCCTGGTTTTACAGTTCACAATTACAGAAGCAAAAACAAATTGCACCTTTCAACTGTTCTTCCCTGCCTGCAAGCACATTGCAAACAAATGACAAAGCACTTCAGGAGGAAAGGCTGGGCCACAAAGAACTTGCCAACAAGCCGGTTTATACTTGCTGTTGAAGCACAATAAAGTAGTCTACCTGAGCACAGGGAGGTTTTAAGAGCCTAAGAACAAGGTCATTCAAAAAGACTTTGAGACAAACAGGACTGAGCAGAACCATCTTTCCCTACTTCATTTTCTCCCAAGAATTAACTTCCTGGGAAAAAGGTTTCTGAGACAAGGAAGAACTGGTAATAAGCACAGGCTAATCAACATTTCCTTCAGGGCTTTTGAAGGGACTGGGTTTGCTTAGTTGTAAAACAAGGATCTGCAGACTCGAATAGACTCAGGGAAGTCTAGTCCTGTTCTTGTTTCTTTCGTTTATTTTGTGTTTGTCTGCAACTTACCCCATTGAACAGAGTACTTCTATGTTCAGGGCTTCTTGGCTTGTTCTAACTGCTGCATTACTCACGGACACTCGAGCCAGTTCTCTGCCAAGCTCTTGCAGCCTTAAATAGCTTAGGAAAGCAGATGAGCTTTCTACCATGTCTTAAAAATTAGTAAATAAAGGCTGTTTTGGGTGAGTAGCAGCAAGTTCAAAAGTTCCCACCAAAACCAATCTGCTGTCTGTCTCTCCTCCTTTGCAGGGACAGAGCATAGGTGAAATGGAAGAGAAAAACAATAGAATTGCAGATGCAAACCACTCAGAGATTAACAAGTATATAACTTAGGCTATGAATAGTACCTACTAATTTTTTTTTTTTTTTGCTTGGTAAAAGAACAAATACCATCTTACCATAATGCTGGATTGAAACAACTACTTTATGACTGTTGCAGACATTGAGATGTCAGTAGTTTGAGTTTACTTTTGGCTGTGCAGTTATGAAGTTTCTAAGCTGACAAGGCCAAACTGAATGATACATTTTCCCAGCACTTTATTTTTGCAGAATTTTGGTGGGAGGGGGTGGGTTAAGGATGAATTCTTCATAAAGAAAGTTTTCTTAAGATGCTTCTCAACAGTTGTTAAAATGAGAAGCTGGATATTTACTACCTGATGAAATTACATCAAGTTCCTTTTCAAAGCCAACATTTAAATCACTCTGCCAACAGATATGACAGTTCTGCTAGCCCAGCCTCAAAAGTGGAAGAAATGGCAACGGTAAGCTTATCAATTTATTGTCTGCAATGTTTAAATACAGATTTTTCAAAACCTAGTCCCCTTGGTATAGGCTATTGCTTTAATATCTGTTTAAATAGTATTCTTGCAGTTTTTGTTTCAAATGCTAAGTAAAATATCTATGTTGTGAACTTGTTGCACGTAGTAGACTGAGCCTGTCTGTTAAAGTCCAAAGCTTTCCTAGCTAGGCCCTACATCTAGCTCTGCCAGATTTCATTTCTCTCATAATGACAGAATCATTGCATGGATCTTTTCCTAGGTCAAGACCTTCACATATCTTGGCAACTGTAACCAACCTGTAAATAGATCAAAACTCACACTAAACAATAATCTAGTGTATTTACTTTGTTTCGTTTCATTTGTACAACGATGAAAAAAGAGTAGCTGGCTTGGGCAGGCAGTAAGCTAGAACTGTTTGTGCAACATTTCTATGCACAGAGTTACCACATAAATGTAAATTTTGAAGTAGAAATTTTTTTCTTTTTTTTTGATGGATGTATGTTCCATTTTATAAGCACATGCTCATTTTAAGGATAAAATAACAGATTTATTTATGATGTAATTTAAGTGCATGCTGTTGAAATATCAGAATTTCTTCCAAGGATTATATTTTCTATCTTAATTGCCTTATTACTCTGTTTTACTAACATGGTTTTCCTCATCTTCAATTGGGTGGTATAACCACAGAGGGGACTAGGAAGGTATATACTGTATAATCAAAGGCACAGAGGATGTAAACTGGCCGCCTCCCTTCTCTCATATTTCAAAAACAAAGGGGTAATCTATATTAATATATGACCGAGCAAAGATCTTATCAGAGAATCCTATCTGTTATATAAGCATATTATATAAAGCTATATTATAACGAGACAAGTAAAATATTATGAATATGGCAAACAAAAAAGTAGTAGGGTAGGTTTTTTTAAAAAAAGGAGGAAGAGTTTCAGCTAAAATAATTTAGCAGTTAAACAGTTGTCTGCACTTCCACCATCTGAGACTGTGAGCTGAGAGAAATATGGGTGGGAGAGAGCCTCTCAGTTTAACATGTAAGCCAAACACAGATGGGGAATAGGATGACATTTTCCCCAATTTTACCCCTAAGTGCTGTCTTGCAATAAGCAAGTGGACTGTAATGTAAAATTATTAAATCTCTGTTGGGAGGCCAGTGTGTGAATTTTAAAATACACTGGTCAAGGAAGAAGTGATTGTGGAAAACTAAAGTGAGAAATACAATGCAATGAGGATACATTTGGATAAAATAAGTAAACCATGCCCTTATCCAAAACATGCTACAGGATGAGGGGAAGATGAGTAATTCTCCTTATTATATGTGTAGAAGTCTATAAAATGCATGCAATTTTACAACCTCAGTTGTGTATTTTAATAATATGTTATTTAATGGACTGAAAGAGCTAGCTCACCTCTGGGACTTGTGACACAATTTGTGATGTGACATGTGAAATGTGATTTGAACCCACATGTAGAACTGAAACCAGGTTACCTTACAATTTTTTTTTTAATAGGCTGAAATGTGTAATTCCCCAATGTCAGCTGAAACAAGTGCTCATTCTATTGATACAAACCAAAATGAAACAATGGAGAAAAGTACACTGGAATGGAATGAACAGCTAGAGAAGGAGATTTTCAGTGGTAAGTGTGTGTCCTTATTTTGGTACTGTTTGATAGAATTGTTACCAGAAGCAACTGTGGTTTGAGAGAATTTTTTGCAAAAGCACAGGCTGTAAAACATAGCTCATTTCTAGCAGAGTGGCTACTTTTTGTTATCTTCGTCTGACAGCAGAATGTCTGCTCCAACACTGACTTCAGGAGATGTCAGTGATCACTCTCAGAACACATTTCATCTCACACTAATACAGTTCAGAAGAATCCCAGGAAACTGTGCACAGTTCTCTCTGCTGTTTCTGCCAGGAGCCCGTACAACACCCTTTAGATGCAGACATATGGTTATGTGAGAATTCTATCCCAGTTTCCTGCATGCATAATTTTGATAATGATGAATTATTTGGCCTGGTTTTATAAACTGTAAAGCCACAAACCACAGAAGCAAGAGGCATTATGACATCCAGTTAGTTTTCTGGGAGCCTTTTTATACCCCCAGTCAAGAGTTGCAGCTTGCAAGAGTTTTAGCTTGACTCATGTCCTCACAATGGAAGACTCAGAAACAACTCATCTTTTTTCTTGTTCTAAGCTGAGTTTCTCAGGAACCTTCTCTTTTGTGTGATGAAGAGAAACTTAGGAAGAATGGAGAATTTTAGTACCTTTGGATCACATTTCATACATACTTATCAATGCTTTCTTAATGCTTTTGTAGTGTTAACGCTGGTCAGTAATGACTGAACACTCAGTCTTATGTATTTAAGTGGATTAGGAAATTCTGTAACAAAACAATCATATCTATTGTATATTATCTGTGGTATTTTCAAAATAGCAGAAGAATACAATTAGCAAAGGCATAATTGGTTTTGACAATACATTTTTATATATATTTTATATATTTTTATATACAGTTTTAATACATTGCTATAGTCTTCTGACTATCTTGGTTAATAAAGCTATGTAGTGTTTAATTCTAGTTCATAAGGTTGCCTATATATATTTATATAAATACATATTTGTTGCTAGACTGAATCACAGCTTCCTAACTATTTAATTACCTTTCTTATCCAGAAAATGCCATTTTCAGTGCTCATATAATTCAGAAGAGAACTTCTTTTATGAATGAAACAAACAGTAGACATGGCAGAATGTTGAATATGCTTGTTTGATGGTTTGCAGGATTCTGTTTTGTTATAGTTATATCATAACTCTGCTTTGTGAACACACAGAAAGTCCATGTTTGTCTAGTGAATGTTTTTCAGGGATTTTTTTGCTTACAGATTATATTTGGAACATTTATGCATGTGTGCACACACACACACACGTATACAATGTGTGAGTGAGAACTCATACTTCAAATTGTTTTGTTCTTCTTCTAAATAGCATAAAGACTAACATTTACATAAAGAGCAGTCACGGAGACCATTTTTTTTCTTGTAGTCATAATGGGTGACCGCTGAAAGGTCCTATGGAGGAAGAATGTGTGGTTTGGAAAGGGTTTTGAATGCTGAGAAGCTGACTCCTTTTAAAGCTAGTTTTGATTATTAATGTAGTACATTAAACTTTTTAACATAAGCAGTCAGAAGATTATTAAAGAAAACAAAACCAAGTATCTTTTTTGTTTTTCCCTGTGCAGTTCTAAGTGATCTGGATGATCAGCTGGCCCAGGAACAAACCCAAGACCCTTTGGAAAGAACAGTTTCTACTAGCAGTGCATCAAATGTCCAAAGTAGTAGTGCATTCCCTATTTCAAAGAGGCAGACTGCTAGTAGAGGGCAACAGAGAAATGACTGGAGGGACATGCCTAGCACATTTTTCCCAGATGGACTGAGAACACTAAGGGCCAAAGATGAACACAAGATATTCATCAGACCAAGGAAGTTACACAGTGCATATATAAACTGGCACCAAACAGCCTTTCAAGAAGACTGCAGTTATGGAGATGCAGTCAATGGAAATCCTCGTCTGCACCGCAGGAGGCTGTCTGCGGTTTCTTTCGGACGCTCTTCAGAAGGGAGCTTATATCCCCCTTCTGTAACACAGAACAGTGGATTTAGGCACAAGGGTTGTATCAACAGGGATGCAGCTGGCAGAAGTTACTCCGTGTGTTCCCTTCGGAGATGTCCATCATCAGTATCTTCTGATCAGCTATCAGCATCTAGTTTACAACATCCATTGGCAAGGGAGAGCAAGAATGGTTTTGTACCCAGGCTTGGTCGACAGAACCCAAAGAGAATTCCTCTGTCTTCCATTGTTTGGAACAACACACCAGACTCTTCAGAACAAACTCCAGAAACAATGTTTAGAACTCAATCACTGATGGAGTTTCATGCTACAGACCATGGTAGATATCCCAGCTCTTTGCAAGAAACTAAGAAATACCCAAGTTACCACTCAAAACACCACTACAGAAGATCTATTTCAAGCAGTAATTGCTTTAGTAGAGTTAGTTGCCCTGACAAAGCTCCTTCTCCGTTGCCCTTTGATAACTGGGAAAACTATCCTTTATACAAATCAGAAAATAATCTCTCTAGATCCTACTATAGAGATACCTCTTCTCATGGCAAGTTGTATGCAAACCAAAAAAATTCTTATGGAAGAAAAGACAGCTATCCTTCTTGGGCTGATATTCCTCAGTGTTACAGTGATGAAGTGTTTATTTCCCCCGATGCCAGCTTTGAAGTGTTTATGGCTAATTTAAATGACCACCAGTGGACACATACAAAGAATGCCAAGTTTGGTTCACAGCGCCTGCAGAACAATTTTCACATGTACTCTCCAGAAAATACAAGTATCAAAAGGATGACAAGAAGTCCAAATAGAAATTTTTCAGAATTCACTGAGGGCTGTCAGCCTTGGCTGAGTTCTAACTCTTCTGTTTCTTCATCTGGTATCAGAACTGATGAGTCAGTCTTTCCCAATTCAAAGGACCAACCAAAACATACAGGACTGAACAGGAATTCAGTAGTTGTTACCCAAAGGAGTACTAAGGCAGACTTTACACACCTGGAAAAGGCGGAAGGTGTGAAACAGCCAGATGAAGACACGCTGTTACAGTCAGCTCCTCAACAAGCAGATACAAGCTACATCAATGCACGGAATTTTACCTCTAACAGCCCTGCTTCTGCCATGTGGCAAAGAGATGTACCTCTCTTTAACACAGTGACATCAAAGAGACAAACCCAAGCTACTGCCAGAGGAGATGCTACAGAAATTTATACATCAAATAGTGATAAAAGAAATGTAGAAATGAAGGAAAATGATTGCCCACCCAGCAGTGTGTTCAATCAGCCTCCGTGTATTTTGCCAGCTGATGGGAGCAGGAAGGAACCTTTTCTTCCAAGTCAGAAAGAATGGGAACATAATCTGCATTATGCAGCACAAAGAGAGAGTATCAAACAGGATAATTGGAGTGTAGAAGCCCTTAACAAAGCTACTTCAAAGAGACATTCCTCACTGCTGAATGTTACTTCTGCTCTATCCACTGAAAAATTAGCAAACTGTCAAGGCCTGTTGTCCTGTCCTCCTGAGTGCTCATCTAGTTTCTCACAAAACTCTCCACAAGCATTTTCTCATAAAGACAATGCTAAATGCTTAGGAACACGAACTAGCTCTTCAGTAAATTGCACTGCTACTGAATCTCAAGCAGAAGCGGGGAAAACAGCTGAAGTGAGTAGAACAGGTGTTAGCAAAGAGATTTCACAGAAAACACTGCAAAATGCAAGCACTTTAGTTACTAAGGACTGTAATGGAAAATTCACTACTAGTTCTCCACAAAATGGATATTCTGAAAATATTTATATGCATAGCTTTGATGGAGACCCCAATACCTCTGAAAATAGTTTAAGTTATTTTTGCCTTGAAAAAGGAATGGAAAAAATGAGGAGTACTTCACCTTGTATCAGAAGGTTTCACAAGCAAGACAGCTCGCCAAGACATACCAGTAGCTGCAGCATTACTGGCTCCCCTGGCAGAAACAGCTCCAAGTCTTCTGACCCCCTTGTTATTTATTACACTTTGCCTAGAAAATCAGCTAGCATTGCTGGTAGTATTATGTCAGAGACGCCCATCTCTTTACCTAGAGAAAGTAGAACAACATACGATTGTTTAAGGTCTGAAACTCTGCACAGAGCTGACACCTCTTATTTTAATCAAAGAGATGTGTCTTGTTTAGATCCAAAATGTTCCTTTTTAACATCAGCCTCATTAAATGCTGCCACAAGTGACAAAGATTACTGCAGTCCTTTAACCAAACATATTAATGATTCAGTAAGTAGTAGTACATCAGTTGATTTGACAGACAGATGTAAACATCTAAGTAGAAGAGAATCCTCTGTGTTTCCAGATTATAAGGAGGGGGGAAATTTTTTGCAGAAATATAAAACCACAAGCACATTTACAGTTTGTGTTGATGAAGATCATGTCAAGTATCATGAACTAGTTTCAATTTATTACACACTACCACGGAGACATTCAAAAACATTTTGTAGCCTCTTTAGAGAAAATTCAGAGGATGCAGATTTACCTTGTCCCAAAGAAAATGCTCAGTCACCAAGAATACAAAACAAGAAAAATGAAGGTCATGTGAGTTTAGAAAATGTTTTTTTCCCTACTACTTCAGAAAAAGAGGTGCCTTCATATTCTTCTAACCAAGTATCTTCAGTTCTGGTCACACCTCAGAACTTACGAACTGCTGCTGATAGTGAAGAAGAGAATTCTCACTTATCCCCTAGCTCTGAGAAGTCGGTGAGTGTGGTACCTAACAAGAAAGATAATTCAGCACATCTTTCATTAGCAGAAAATGTACTTTCTGATGTGGTGACAAAAGAAATTTCTTTTGGTGGCCCACAATCTATGGCAGTAGTGGCTAAGTCAGGTAAGGCCATTTCTGATGCTTCAAGCAGTCAAAAGGCAGAAATACATATAAAAGAAAAGAAGGAAATTTTACAAACAACCACACCACTAATGTCCACTTTATCAACCCCTCCCAAGCCAGGCAGACATGTAGAGAATCCTTTATATTCTAATTCAACAAATAAAAATACAGTACAGAAGGGAAGCTCTGAAAATTGCTCTCAGCCCCCAAAAGTGAACAAGAAAAATCTGAACAGTTTATTCCTCCGCTCCAGAGAGAAAAGTTCCCTTGGAAGTAGTGGTAATGCAGAGCATGCTGATGTGCCACTTATTCCCGTGGAAGATGTGTACAGGGATAGTGCCCAAGTTAAACAGAGAGTAGGTGTCCTACACCGAACCACTCCTCTGTGTAATAATAAATTTAGTGGACTGCAATTAAGGGCTGACAGTTCAAGAAAAAAAGAGAATGGTTTAAACTTTCGTAGCAAAGTGCTTCCAGAGTCTCCAAGCAAAGCATCTCAGGTAAGCACAGCATCCAGTGCCAATCCATTACTTCAGCTAGACAAAGTGGCTAGCACAGATACAGACAAAGTAAAGAATTCAAAAATTAAAAAAGAGCAAAACTCACCGAGTTCTCATATGGGTAAAGTTTACAGTGGTTTTCAGGAATCAGAGAGGCATAGTGAGGGCAACCTGAACATTAAAGATAAAGTCCCCAGGGTTACACAAGATCAGAACATAACACAGAGTCCAGAAGAGGAAAACAAGCTTCTCTCTGACTGCACAAGAGACAAAGATATAGAGAAAAGGAAAAACAGACCTTCAATTAAAAATAAATTGGCAGCTGTTTACAAAACAAGTCGTAAATTTTCAAGTAAAAATCTACCCCCCAAACCACACATAAGTAACATTTTTTCACAGAATGATGGAAGTGCTACTTCTTTAGAGGTCAACATGTCTCTTGACTCGTTGATTTCAATGGATTCCCACCAGCCATTCCTGGAGTTGGACAATGGAAATCAGAATCACAGTCTGAACTCTGACAAGAATACTCCAAGACCAAGAACAGCTGATAATAAGAAGCCTGGAAATCAGAATGATCCTTCTTTGCTTGTTAACACCAAAAGGAGGCCTTTTACAAGTTCATACACCCAGAGGGAAGCCATCAGTCCTCAAAAAACTGCAGTGAAAGTGGAAAATAGGCCAAGACTCACAACGTTGTTTCCAGATAAAGCAGTAACCGCAAGAAATAAGAATTCCCAAACAATTGATCTCGGGTTAGAAAGCAAAAGCCAGCCCATCTCTCCCAGTGCTACTACCTCATACCCACTGGATGAAGAGAAAGGAAGAGCTAGCAGTCATGTCTGCGCTCCTCCCTTGCCACTTTTGACTGACAAAAACTCCAACACCTATATAAACAGCTGCCTGCAGGCAGACACATGTCCAGAGCAAAACTTGACTTCCCAGAGAGTGCTTGGTCAGCGTCAAAATACCTCTCAGCCTACTGGCTTAGAAAACGCTAACCTCAATAGCTATCAGTTACACAAGAGCCATGTGAAAAGTCAGCGTGAGCGTCACCTCTCTGAGGGTGTTTGTGCCCGAGATTCCCTTGAGACCTCTGCCTCAGGAACCAATATTCTACCCAAAGATGGCATACATGGGAAGAGATTTAAATCTTACTCAGAGCTGTTGTCTTGTGATGAGAATGAAAACTGGGCATCAGACGATGAAAAATGTTACAGCACTAGAAATTTAATGTATCCGTCTGTGGAATTTGGTATATTTGGCAAAGAGCAACAACTGGCTTTCCTGGAAAATATCAAGAGGTCACTCACAGAAGGGCGATTATGGAGACCATGTCTTCTTAATAACCCTGGTGCTTTCAGAGATACAGAGAGCTCTTCTGTAAACAGGGCTGAGCTTCTGAGCTCGAGTTCTGCTGGGAGCAAAATGTCATCAGCTGCTTCATCCCCCCGAGAGCTGACTGATACCTACGTGGAAGACCCAGCCGCTTACTCGGACTCGGACAGTGATACCACCACCGATGATGAATATTACCTAGATGAGATAGACAAAGAATCAGAGCTATGAAGGGACTGTGGTACTAAGATGGCACAATAGTAGTGTGGTAGTTTCTGGGCAGGCAAAAACATGTCAAATATGCTGAGCCCCATTCTTATGCTGCTATAAATTGGTGCAGCTTCCTTAGTTTCAAGGGAACTCCCTTGAAATGTATGTTATATTAGCTGAGCATTTGACTTTTGTATTAAATGTGTGGCTTCACCTTTCCTGTTTCTCTCAGCAGGGAAAAACAATGTTAAAAAAATCCCTTCCCCATATAATAGAAGGTAAACAGCTGTGGAGCTTTGGGCAGTGTAAGTCCAGGGATGGCTTTCCTCTGAGTCAGCAAGCAGTAGTTAGGTTCCTGCCAGCTACGCAGTGCTGGAATGGCTAAATTCTAGCTTGAGCTGCTTTTTCTTACAGAACTTAACAGAAAACCAAGAAGTTACTTTGCTGATAATTTGCTGTTTCTCCTAAACCAGGACACAATCTTCCTCATTATCAAGCATGATAATGCTAATCCTTCCCACTGAACAAATATCCTCACAAAATGAAACCTCTTAAATCTTTACAGAGTATTCTGTATGAATGTTCTTTTTCTGCATTCCTGGGAAGCATAGCAGCAATGTCCCTGGTGGCATTTGTTCTGCTGTGCTGTTGAGGCAGATTCCACACCAGGACTTTTCAGCATTGCAAGAGCAGTGAGCCATGTGAGTTGCAGAAGTACCTCTAGTGTGGGAGAAAAAGCTCAACACAGGGCACGGCATGGAGAAACTGACCAAAAGAAAGACAACTGAGCATGAAAATCTGCTTTCCAGACATGGAAGATTCATAACCAGCACATCTTTGGTTACAGTTGATATGATTGGCCAGATTTCTGCCTTTGACTTAGAAACAAGTTAATTTGGATTAAAAGTCAGACACTTTTAACAATTCAAAATATAAAAAAGTTTAGCCTGTTAATTTCCTGTATTAACCTCATAGGTTAAACCTTTAGTTGTCCTAGTAGTGAGAAGATAACCAAAACAATTTGTGAGATCCCAAAGTTCTGCAGCTGCCCCTTCTTGGCTGGTCTCAGGATGAGGCACCTGCGGCCACTGGACTCCTTCAGGGCAGCAGCACTGGGGCATCCTGAGAGGGCACTTGGCTGCAGCACCACTGCACCATACAGGCTGGGAGCTTTTTACATGCAGAGTAAATAAAACCAGTAAGAAAGTCTCTTTGCCCTTTGTTAAATTACTATCCCTTTTTGGTATTTTTCAACTGTTCCTGCTGTGACCACAGCACTCTTTGTCCTCTAAACTGAATGGGTGTAAATATTTTCCATTGGCTTTTCTTCAGCCACAAAAATAATGTAGTATTATTAGTCAGTAGCCAAAATTTGTCCCTGGTCATTAAATTTCTAACTAAGCTTTGTTCTCTTTTTATGAAAAATCAGAATCTGGCTTACTGAACCAGAAGGTGTATTTTAAAATAATTTTACATTTTCTTCTACTTTATTTCTGATTTCATATATGGTCTGAAATGATGGTCCATATTTTTATATGCTTTTTAATCCAATAAAATTTCTGTAGGACATAATTATATTTTTCTAACTTGAAGGACAGTATACTGGCATTTGAAAATAACATATTTTACACAAAACAAGCAATGCTTGTATCACTGACTACTCCACAAGAATCTAAAAGATGCAAATATTACAGTAGGTAATTTTTTATTTTTTCACACTGTAAGCTTCGTTAAAGAAGTGGATCTGTAGTTTAAATCTGTACTGATATATAATTATTATTACTTTTCGCTGGGGTAATTTGTCTTTTGTTGTACATAGAAAGACTTAACTTAAACTGTATATTTATAGTCAGAATTGATCTCTACGACATGCCTGTTTCACAAGGATAAAAGAACAGAGGCAATGCTGGAAGGAAATGACTACTGTATAATTCCAGTCTTGTAAAATGTGGTGTTCAAAGGAGAAATTATGTTTTTCTGTAAATGTTTATATTCTCTGTGTGTACAGGATTCTGTAGAGTAAGACAAAACCAGCTGAGTATCTGTGCTGAGTTTCTGCTGTTGTACATTTCTGCAAAATAAATTAATCCAAAAATTTGGGATACCAGCCTACATAAGGTAAAGAATAATAAAAGAAATGTGGAAAAAGGAAGTAAATGGTCATACAGTTTTTCTTGACTAGACGTAGATGGTTTAGAGCATTTTTATTTGTAAATAGCTTCTATCCATTCAACAGTAGTTGGATTAAGTGCTCACCTTGCAGGTATAAGTTTTTTTCATTTGCTATGCTGTGTATGACAGAAAATCAGGTGGCTTGATTTAATGTAAGCAAGTAAAAACTGCTTCTGATTGTAAATCAGTTGTGGAAGACTGCAGCCTGTTGAGGATCTGTAAACTAAAATTTACATTGAATAGTAGTATTCTAACAGTCAATTGCATGAAAGCACAGGGAGAAATATCTTTTGAATATCAATCAGTTCCATTCAGTTTAGCAGAGCCAAATTTTGACACTTCCACTCTTCCAAGATTTTCTTTGGCAAAAATATATTCTATAAATATTGGTAATTTACAGGATTTTCACATTTAAAACTACTTGTTTGAAATAAATTCTGCATTTACATTAAAAAATGTATTGGTACTGTATTTGTTTTTCACATGCTGTGAATGCAGTAGACAATAAAAAAACCCCAAAAATCCAGCATCTTAATATGGTTGCCAAGATCATCAGGCTGCTGATGGCCAACAAAGCCATGGATTGAGCAGGGCAGGCAGCCTTGGTCCATCTCATAGCTGTAGCTAGCAGTCACATCAGCTGCCAGGCTCAGGCCTGCCTCCTGCACAGGCAGGATGTGCTGCCTTCTCTTGTCCTGCCAGCCGATGAGTCTCCAGCACACAAATAGTTTTCCATCCATGGTAGAATCTTTACAGTAGACATAATAAACCCTTAGGGAGCCTATAACTTGCCTTGAGGTGCCTATACTCCATGTAGGGGCCAAGGGTAGTGTTTGATGAGTATTTTTACAAGGTGATGAGCTCCATGTGAAAATCCCTTCAGCTGCAATTAGGCCTGAGTGAAACCTGGCTGCCACGTGCCATGTAATAGTGTGAGACTCACCATAGTCTTTCAGCCTTAATTACTACAGCCAGTATTTGTGGTACCTGAGCTCAGTGATGCAGTCCTTCAGCCTGCCTTCAGAAGGAAATATGGCTTATGAACTAAGGTGGTTTTTCTGTCTAGACTTCTGTCCACCCAGTAGGTCATGCATGTACCCATATGATCTTTGGGCATTCCACCATCTTGATGACATTTGAAAGAAGGGACAGAAATTTCATGGATTCATCAAAGGATAAGTCAGGGTTGATGTGACTTCAGAAGGTCTCTGGTCCAGCCTCCTGCTCACAGCAGAATGGCTTCGAGGTCAGGGCCACCTTCTTAAGTCTTCATCCAGTTGAGGCTTGAAAATACCTGAGGATACAAGACTGGACAATCTTTCTGGGCAACCTGTGCCTCAGCCTAAAACATGGAGGTGTTAGAGGGTGACCATCTCGTCTTTCAATTCATGCCAGTTGTCTTTCAACCTTCTGTCCTGCACCATCTCATCATCTTCCTGTGGGCTTCTGTGAGCTCCACGCTCTTATCGAAGGTATCTCTTAACAGGCTTAACAAGTCCAGCTGCCCCAGTTTCTCCTCAGAGGGCCGGTGCTCCAGCTCTGCCATCTCAGTGGCTTCCCCTGGATTTGATCCAGTTTATTGATGTCTTGTTCTGGGGAGTGCAAGGCTGGATGCAGGATCTAGATGTGGTCTAACAAGTACTGAGTGGAGGTGGATAATGACTCCCCTCGACCTCTGGCTCTACCCTTGTTCATTCAGCCCAGGCTGCTGTTGGCCATTGTTACTGCCAGGGCTCATCGGTGGCCCATGTCCCTCCATGCCCACCTGGACCCCCAGGGCCATTCCCTCAGAGCTGCTCCCAGCAGCTGGTCCCAGCCCATCCCAGAAACAGGGATGGCTCCTTGCCAGGAACAGGGCCTAAGAGCACCGTCAGGCCATGATCCCCCCCACCTCCTCAGGGCTCCCCTCACTCACCCTGCCCATGGCTCACACCACCATTTCAGCCCAGCCTGAGGCCATCAGTCCCTGGGCAGCCCTCCCTGCTGAGTCTGGCCCTTTCTGCAGCCTGACAACCCCAGGACAGGCAGCTATCCCAGAGTGGTGTCTGAGCCCAATTCCCCTCACAGGGACCAATCCTGATCTGCAGATTGATGTCCCTGCCTGACCTCAGCCCTGCCCTGTACCCTGCAATACTACACAAGCTTTCTCTCACTCTTGGGAGTATCACACATGCTATGTCAGTGGAGTTCTGTGGTGATATGAAGTGAGGGAATTGAAGAGACTAAAGACAAAAGCAAGAAGGAAACCAGACTTGATAATTCAAGGAACCTGTTTTTCATGGTCTGTATACACAGAGACTTGAAGTTCATGTTATTCAAAACTAGGCAGAATTAATTTGTGCTCTCATTGCTTTGCATGTGAAAATCCAGGCTTGCCCAGAAGCTCGATTTAATTCTCCTACAGCCTTGTAAGCCCTCCCATCTACTCATAGCTTGAAATACTAGTAGCAGCAAATGGTAAAAATGATAAAACAACTTTAGGAGACAAATCATCAGAGTTTTACCCTCTTTACTTGAAGAGTCCCAACATTTTAAATCCATGAAATTACTTTGTTGTTACATTTTCTAGTGGATAATACTGTGATCCCTTTTCCCTCCCTCACCAAGCATCGCAGCACTGATGAGGGCCACCAGCAGCATGTCACTCACAGACCTCAGGAGCACCACAAATGTGTCTGAGCCTCCTCTCCGGGATAGGGAACCCGGCATCAGTGGGTCCTAACAGGGTCCCTGCTCTGTCCTTCGCTAGTACAATTGCTATGGGAAATCCCAAAAAACAGTGAGGAATTTTAAACTATGTCAGGTGCTTGGGCCTTTTTACAGCAATTTCTGTACATCAGCTGACACAAGGCAGTGCCAATAAGTTATAGATGATATTTTCCTCTTCAAATTCCAGGCCAGCTGTTCAGCTGCTGGCTGAGGTGTATCCTAAACCACACGTAACGTGTTATTGGGGGGTGGGGGGCACAGGCAGGGAAGAAAAACCTCTCGGCACCGGCACCGCCAGACCAGCGGGTCCGAGCCGCTCCCCGCTCCCACCGCGGCTCTGCTGCATTTCCCGCGGCTCTGGGGAAGCGCCCGGCTCCGGACCCGCTGCCGTGCCAGGGCACGGTCCGGCGCACACGGGCTGGGCTGGGCTGGGCTGGGGCAGGCTCTCACCCCCGACCTCCTTGCGGACATCGCGGGACGGCCCGGAGGAGAACGAGGAAAGGCGGCGGGATTCAGCCGCCCGGGGACAGCCCGGCCCTGCCCTCGCCTCGCTCCGGCTCTACCCGGCCCCGGCCCCGTCGGGCCGCCCCGCGGGGCGGGGAGCGGGCGGGGGCCGCGCAGGGCCCGAGGAGGCCCCGGACCCCGCTCCGAGAGGGTGCGGTGGGGGCCTGCGGGGCGATGTGGGGCCGCGGGCTGCTGCCGCTGCTGCTGCTGGGCGCTGCGGGGCCGCTGCTGCGGCCGGCGGGGTCGGCGGAGCCGGCGGATCCCGTCAGCGCCGAGCGGAGCCTGGCCTGGGGCCCCGGGCTGGACGCGGGGCTCACCGTGCCCGTGAGGCACTTCTACATCCAGGCGGTCAGCGAGGCCGGACGCAACTTCTCCCGCTCGCCGCCAGGTACTGTTCGTGTGCTCCGGGACGGGCAGGGGCGCGGAATGCAGACCTGCCCCGGGCTGCGGTTTCGCCACAGAACCTGGATGGAGGTGCCCACCCCTTCCCCTCTTCCCCTCCTCCTTGCTTCCTTCCTTCCTTTCCCCGTTCCGTGCCGTGGCTGTGCCATCGCTGCTGCCGCGCCCGGGACACGCAGGACAAGCAAAGCACATGGTCCGACCAGCCTTTCTTCTGGTGCTGCCCAGTGCCTCCTCTGCTCCCACCAGTAGTCACTCTAAACAGTATGGAATTTACAGCAAAGAAACAGTAAGCTCAGAAAGAACCAGTGCTCCTGGAGCTAGTGCATGTAAAATCCCAGTACACAGCTGGGAAGTGGTAACGTAATTAGTTTTAATGCCACACACACACCAGTTGCTTAAAATTTCTGTCTCTGTCAGCAGAGCCCTCTGGGCTCTGTTATCCTACTGCTGCTCCGTTAAGGAGTAATTTTCATTTGTTGTTTACTCAGCACAAGCACAAACCATCCCATGACATTTCTCCTGAGGGTGGGAATTGTGTTTGTTCTTTCAGACCGGTGGTATGATGCCAGTCAACTGTTTGCTGCTGCAAATTAACTCCACACACTCTATTTATAGTTCAAATTTGGAATAAAAATTACTTTTATATCACAGATTCCATAATGAAGATAACCCTGGGATGGCCCCAGAGGAAATCTTGTGTTGCTAACTTTCATAGGGTAGAGGCTACTTAATTTGTTCACAGAGATGGTACTGAGAGAGCAATTACCACGTGTGCATGGCCTCTTCATGTGTTGTTAGTTAGAAAGCTGCTGCTTGCAGAATTAAAGAGTAGACATACATTGTGCCAAGGTTTTGGGTTTGATCCCATCCCTGTATGGGCCATTCACTTAAGAGTTGGACTCGATGATCCTTGTGGATCCCTTCTGACTTGGAATATTCAGTGAATCCATGAATTATACAGGCTGTGTCTTCAGTCTGACAGAAGCATGGATACTTCAGATATTTCAGGTCTGGACTTTCCCCTTCTGCTGTTGCACCTTGGTGCTGGTTGTCAGTGCAGTTTTGTATTTGCAGTCCAGAATGCGGCTGCACGCTCCCTGCCAGTGCAGTGGAGGTTGATGGCAGCTACACAGGGAGAGCCTTGGGTTCAAACAACAGGTTGCTAAAGGTGGAAAGGTGTGAAGTTCAGTTGGGTTCTCATGCTAGTGCTAGTCCTCCAAAATAAACTGGTAGGACATGGGTGCTGAGAACCTAGTTTTGATCACAGTGTGTTCGTGTGTGTTCATATTTATGTTAATAAATTCAGTGTCCCAGGAAAACTTCCAAGTCCCAATGCCATCTGGCATGGAGTGATCTTCATTCATCCCATGACCTGCTGTGGCCTCCAGTCAAAGACAGAGCATGCGTGCTGCTGGCAGGGAAGAGCTGTTGCCTCAGCATGTGCTAACTGCTGTCCCGTGCCAAGAATTGTTTAGGAGGGTGCCAAGGATTCATAAAAAAATTAGTGGTAGAATTGGTCATATTCTAGTGCATGAGCACTGTTTAAAGTATTCATAGAGACCCTGGCTATGAGCTTCTGTTCTTGAATGGTTTAAAATGTTCAAACCTGTAAAATGTCATTAAGAATTAAAATGAACAATATTTATTCAGGTAGCACTCTCCAATATAACTTAAATACATCTCAAAATATATCAGTTGAGATAGCAAAAAATCCACATTATCACCTCCACTGCAAAACAGAAACACTGTGATCAGAGCAGCAGAGCTATGGTTAAGGCATCACATTTGTGAAATTTGTCCAAATCTATTAAATTGGTTTTTATGTGCATTAGAATTTCAGTCAAGTGGGTCAGGGCTTACTGGGCTCCATTATAAAATTTGTATAGCATAATTAGTAGATTTTAAATCCAGATTTGTTTTCTGAATGTCAAGTCTGTTCACTAGAATTGATATGCACCATTGCACATTGCACTGGAATTTCAACCCAAAGGTTGTAACTGTTTGACCTTTCTTTGTAGGAGGATGTCAAATGATGCAGAATTCATTCTTTCCCTAGAAAAATTATTTCAAAGTTAAGAAAATCCCAGCTGAAAGAAATGGAGCTTTCTTTTGGTGTAAACAGCATAGATTTTTTTTTTCTTTAGATACTTGGATACACCTTATCCTTCTTTTCTGCTAGGTTTCAACAACTCCCAACCATGTCTTTATATGCTATTGACCATGATAAAATCAGCTGTTAACTGTTGTTCAGATGATCTACATACTCTGCTAACAAATATTTTTCAAGGCCTCCCAGGTATTCTTGCAGGTTTCACCAAATGCTTTCAAAGAGCCAGGGCATGCTTCTTCCAGCTTTCGTTCCACTGCTGCCAAACAGAGTTGTGCATCTCAGATCACTCACCTCCGTACCTGGGCACTGCGGGACCTCCCTTTGGGTCTTTGATTGACCATGATCCCTGGGCTTTTGTGATGGTCACACACAAGACCTGTATTTGTTTGTTGCTGATATATGCTCTTGCAGCCAACTCTCTGAAAGCATAGGCTTATAATTCATGTGTCTCTTTGTGACTTTGTCAATCTTGTGTTTTCAGTAAATTTCAGTAAAACAGTTGAATCAAAAAATCTTCTTTTCAGATCATTTCTCTTCAGCATACATGTCAGAAGTAGGGTGACTAGGTTTTTTATGTTCTTCTTTAGCAATTTGCCTAAATAAGTATCTTGTTACCTTTTTCCTCTTTCCCTCCATTTCATCACTTGTTCCTCCATGCATGGTCTATCTCTTTTGCAAGCTGCAGAGAAGAAAAAAAGAGCGTAAAGCAGGTGTCATTATCCTGGTTTCTTAATGTATCCCATTTTGACTGTGTCTATATTTTAGTCTCTCTTCATTACTGGGAAATTATTTTGTACTTAAAATGCTGTCCCAGACATGTTTTCAGGGTAACAGAGAACTGCTAGCAGTGCTGATTCAACAAGGACACATTTTTCTTTTACAATTCCTTTGGACTGAGAGAAACAAAAAAACCACAAGTGAAAGTACCATGGTAACTTCTTCCAAATAAAAAATAAAAATCAGTAAGAAGTTGTTATGATTAAGTATGCATTAGAGGCCTTGGCCCCATTACACAATGAACATTATAAATTACAAACAAAAAGTCTGTTGCCTCCAATGAATTATTTGTATGCACATGAAATACTCAATCTTGGGTTTTTTCCCAAGATTTTTCACTGTCAATGGAGTTAGCTTTTTCCCAGAGAGCTTTGTTATCAGTCACTTCCCCTATCAAATTATTCCTGGGTCTAAAGTGCCACCAACTAAAACTAACAGATCCTTTGGGTGGATCAAGGGCTTCTCATGTCTTGAGCAAGATGTACATAACAAGCAGGGAACAAGACCCACGTAGTAATATCCTGTAGGTGAGGACAAGGATATAAAATTGAGTAGTATTTGACTTACGATTTCATTTTTATGACAACTGAAAACTTGCTTTTCTTCAGTTGGAAATCACTATACCCAGTAAAAATGAACTTTTCTTTGTGAACCTCATGACGCATTCTGGATTTGAATACTTCTTCATCCAAATAATACTGGGTGATAACCATAGGGAGAGGCTAGTTGGTTAAAGTCAACTTCTTTGAAGCAAGTTAAAAATGGTGGTTGTGATTTGCAGTGACCTTTGAGGCAGAGATGTTCATTTCTTTGGGAGAGTCATTTAACCTGAATATTCTTGCACAGTGTTTGACTTGAATCCAATTTCAAGATCCAGTGATTTAAGGAAGACATGATTGATCATTAAAAGACTGGTGCTTATCACATCAGTGCATTTATCTGTGGATGCAGAGTATGGAGTTAGTTGTGACATCTCATGTTGGGACATATTCAGATTTTAGTAACATCTTGATTTTTTTCTGGATTTTTTTCAGTTTCATTTATTTTGTATACTACTTGTTGGTAGCATTCATTGTATTTGTTTGGTTCACAATGCTTAGACTGTGACATTTCATGAATAATTTGTCCCCCTCTTTTTTTTATTGATAAAGTTGACAAATGACCACTTGTGATAGAATTAAAGAATGTAACAGATTCATGTTTATACATACTCATATTTTCCATAAATTATGCCATATCTTAGTGCATTAATGATGAAATGCTCGTGATCTTTAAGCACAGGTCAGACAGATGTCCAGGGAACATCTCTACTATCATTCTCTTATCCCTGCTTTTCAGTAGCTGGGACTTTAAATGTGCAAGACAGTCAGCAGCAGCCCAAAGCTGAAAAATTTGTATGTGACTCCTGCATGCTGCAACTGCCTTTCCACAAGCTGGCAAGTATTCTTTTCTCCTGTTACTTTAACTTGGTTTCCTGTCTTTCTTACTCTAGAGGAAATTAATTGTTCCTCAGAGCACTAACTTGAAAACTTAGAATAAAACCTAATCTTAGCTTCAAAATACTGTTAGTCTTCTTTCTTGTGATCAAATATTTAACTTTTTATCTACATCTGCAGGTTTTCCATTAGAGGTGTGCAATGACTAAGAATATTTGGTAGGATGATATTTCTTCACTGGAAACTAGTTTTACCAACTTGGTATAATTAAAAAATTGTAGTGAAAAATAAATTAAATTCCATGGTCTTAATTCAGTGGAGTTTGCTCCTTATCTTTATTAACTAGATGTGATTCTAATAGCTTAAAGTGATTTTGTCTGGTTTTATTTTCCTCTTGCCAGGGAAAACACAATTTAAAGTGGTAATTAAAGCACTTTCTCCAAAAGAAGTCACCAGAGTTTACACCCCTCGGCCTCTGGATAGAAATGATGGTACATTCCTTATGCGGTATCGGATGTATGGAAGTGTCACAAAAGGCTTAAAAATTGAGATACTTTATGGTGATCAGCATGTGGCTCAATCACCTTATATTTTGAAAGGTAAGGGTATTTTTTGATGTAATGTATCAAAGTTTTGAATTAGGATGTATTTGAAACTGCAACACCTGGGCTGTGGTAGCTGTGGACAGCTCAGACAATTCTGAGTCCCCCATGGGCTTGGCAGGTTCACAGAAATGCAGCTTCATTCAGCAGAATAATTTCACCCTCACAAGTGAAACACAAATATTGTATTTCTGAAAAGAGAAGAATGTTGCTGTTTTCTCAGTTACACTGCAAAATTCCAGAAATTATAGGAAGGCTGGTTTCCCAGGAAAACTGTAGAAAACATGGTATTTAAAAATGCTAAGCCACTGTAATGTATAAATTATGTGTGCTGTAGAATCACCAACTCTGGGTGCTTTGTTTTCCACAGGACCAGTTTATCATGAATACTGTGACTGTCCTGAAGAAGACACTGAGGTCTGGCAGGACATGATGTCCTGTCCATCCCAAGAACCTCAGATTACCAAAGACTTCATTTCGTTTCCCACCATTGACCTGCAGCGAATGCTTAAGGAAATCCCAGCAAAGTTCAGCCAAACGAGAGGTGCTATTGTTCATTACACTATTCTGGATAATCACATCTACCGGCGCTCCTTAGGGAAGTACACAGACTTCAAAATGTTCTCCGATGAAATGCTCCTGTCACTGGCCAGGAAGGTATTGGTTTGGTTCATGTCAGACTATTTAGGCAATATCACAGAATCACAGATTGGTTGGGGTGGGAAGAGACCTCTGGAGAACATCTAGTCCAGCTCCCCTGCCAAAGCAGGTTCACCCAGAACTGGTTGCACAGGATCACCTCTGGGGTGGGTTTTGAATATCCACAGCCTGTCTGGGCAGTCTGTTCATGGCTCTGTCACCCTCAGAGTGAGGAAGTTTTCCCTCATATTCAGATGGCACTTCCTGTTTTAAGTATGTGCCTGTTTCCCCTTGTTCTGTTGCTGAGCACCATTAAAAAGAGTCTGGCCCCATCCTCTTGACACCCGCCCTTAAGATATTTGTAAGCATGGATAAGATCCTCTCTCAGTCGTCTCTTGTCCAGGTTAAACATATTTAAATATGGCAGTACAACAATTGTTGTTGTATCTTCAGATGTATAACTCCTGAAGTAAGATTTGACATTTGTTTTTCCATCAAGGCAACACTGTGTGGGGGCTGGCCCTGCCAGTAATGAAAACGTTTGGAAAGCTCCAAGGGCTAAGGCCCAACTGTGAACTGTTTTGTGGCCTCTGGGTGTTCCTTTCATACTCATTTGCAGGGCAGAAGCTTGGAATTCATACATTAAGCGCAGTTAAATCTATGAGCTATCTGGTAGGTGAACTGAGGAATAGATGTAAGAGTGACAAACAGCTTCTCTGTGTTATTATCCTCTCTTGGGCACACGGTTAGGTTCGTCTTCCTGATGTGGAGTTTTATCTCAATGTTGGAGACTGGCCAGTTGAGCATCGGAAAGCTAATGATACGCCTGGTCCTGTACCTGTCATCTCCTGGTGTGGCTCTGTGGATTCCAGAGATATCATCCTGCCAACGTATGATGTAACCCACTCAACTCTGGAAACCCTACGTGGAGTCACCAATGATCTCCTTTCCATTCAAGGAAATACAGGTGAATTAGAGACTGTGGATTTGAAAAGAATTGGTGATTTCCATCAAAGATGCAAGTTGCATTCAAATAATATGTTAAAGTCTTCAGTTCAAACTGCCCTAGGACATGTCTGAATACAAGCAGCTTAGTTTTTACAGATTGCAAACACTTTTCAACACTGCCACTAAGGAGGTGTGTCGCTTAGAACCAAAATTTAAGAACTCCAGTTTGCAATAGACAATTTGAATTTGACACTAAAGGTATCCAGAAGATACCTATTGTGACCTGGCAAAGGAAACTAAATGTAACTAAAAAGCCCTTCTCCTCAGTAAAGGACTCAAATACGTTTCTTCTAATCAAATAGCAACCCTTTTCCTGACTGTGTTACGGCCCACTATTCTGTTTACAAAAAATTAATTTGCATCCTGAAAGAAGTAAGCTTGATACTATGGTGCAGCCTTTTTCAAATGAGAAAACATTGTCTATATGAAAAAATACCTCAGAGTGAGATCTCCTGAATTTCTTTTCTGGCTTTGAGAGAAGAGTCAGCTTTACTGACAGGTGTCTTCCTCCCCCTCGGGAAATTAAAGAATACTTAGGTATCAAATAAATAGCATAGCAATACCTAAGAAGTAAAATGAGAGGAAAGTTATTTCTTTTTATTTAATTAGTTCTCAGTTCCTCTTTTCTTTATTAGTTTTCAAATTAAATATTTCAATTAAATGATCAGTTGGAGGCATTGTGTGTTTAACTCATTTAGTAAAATTGCTTTTCCAATTAGGAGACAGTAAGAGACTACTCCATTTAATAGGTCCTTTAGGGAAATTTTTAGCAGAAAGGTGAGGAAGGGCACAGTTAATGTTTTTAAAAGCAGGCAGTAAGCAGAGATGAAGTCTTTCAGACTCTAGCTAAGTGTTTAGAGGACACAACATAGCCATTTATTTTCTTTTTTAAGGCATCATTAAGTGGTTCTTCAAGGACCTAACTAAATTGCTGGGTAACAGAAGTGGATTTTACTAAAGAAATTTGGTTAATGTGGCAGGCTTTATGGATGGAAAATTGCTTTAATTATTAGTATTTTCCTTACATATTTTATTATAATCCCTTATGTAGCTTTCAAGATAGTTGAAGTTATTGAAATACACAATTGTTGAGTGGAAAAGCAATTCTCTAATTTTCCTTTTATGAGTTTCTCACCACAAAATTCAAGCCAGAATTGGGAATTTAACCCTGTGATTAATAAATGGTTATGGGAAATTGTGCCAGTCCTACCATGTGTCCAAGTGCAATGCCGCTGTCAAACCAAGTTCTTATTTGCATTGAACAGATCCTGAGCCTGTCACTGCTGTTTGCTTTTGCCTTATCACTCACTGCTCATAGGCCCCTTCTGGGAAAACAAAACTGAGAGGGCTTTATTCAGAGGTCGAGACAGCCGAGAAGAACGTCTCCATCTTGTCAAGTTATCCAAGGAAAATCCAGAGCTACTAGATGCTGGAATAACTGGATATTTCTTCTTCAGAGAAAAAGAAAAAGAGCTGGGGAAGGCTCAGCTGATGGGCTTCTTTGACTTCTTTAAGGTAGCAATCAAATTACAGTTTTGGATTAGTTTTATGTCAAGTTCTTACCAACTGAAAAGACAAGGCTTACTTTTGTTAATTCTTTTCAGTGAACAAAACAATTACATTGCTGTGGGAGCACGGGTCCATGCAGGGTAGATAAACCACCTGTATTCAATGTCCTAATGTGACACACTTGTAAAGAAAGGCCTTTAGAGAGACATTTTGGCTTATTTTTATTTTTTAAAAGTCTGAGAAATTTGATTTCTCACCATCAGGGTTTCTTTTATTTGGGGTAAAGATGAAAACAATGGACACAACTTATATCCATTGCAAGTACACTGTGGATGTCAGAATGAGTCTTTGTAGTAACAAATTAGAAAAATATGAGTGGTTTTGCTGTACTTCAACATACAAATTCTACTTCAAGAAAGATATAAAAAATAAAGGGACAGAGTCCTGTATAAAGCCATTATAATATACAGCAATTGAAATTCTGTTCTGAAGATCGATATTTCAGAAATACTGTTAACAGCCAAGAACATCTGCCAAAGCAGTACATTCATGGTTTTAGTATAATGTTTCATCTTATTTTATGTTTCAGATTATTCTACATAATAACGTTAAGTCAGAATAAATTTACTTTGAATTGAAGTATAGATTAGTTTTAGTTCCTTCCCTGATGTAGCCTTTGCTCTATCCCAGGACACTTCAATATGATACTCATCAGGCAGTTCATATGACACAAAGGTTCTTGACTGTCAGCCTCGTGCTGAAAACAAATCCTTCTTCCATTATGTTATCCAGAAGACCATGAAACTATACATGCTTAACGCTAAAATGAGTTTGAAGATGAAAATTAATAAACATGGTTACTTCTTGCCTGTTAAAATAATACTTTATACAGTCATTGTTCCCGTTCCCATACAAAACATTTCACCTTTTTTTCCCCTCTCTTCACGCTGTAGTACAAATACCAAGTGAATGTAGATGGCACCGTAGCAGCTTACAGGTTTCCGTACCTATTGCTGGGTGACAGCCTGGTATTGAAGCAAGATTCCCAGTACTATGAACACTTTTATATTGGATTAAAACCTTGGAAACATTATGTTCCAGTTAAGAGAAACTTAGAGGACTTGCTAGAGAAAATAAAATGGGCTAAGGTAAGTTCCATTATTGATTCAAGTTCAAAGTGATAAACAAACATGTAAACAATTTCTCTTAATAGTCTCTTCATACATATTTTGCATGAGCTCTGTTGAGATCCTGGACTAAAGGAAGTACATTTTGTTGTTAGTATAAAATGGAAAGGCCTTATTTGAAGTAACCATCTCTATTTAGGGCAGTACTTAAGTGTTCATTTTAGGTATGGGCAGAAGAGTTCTTGAGTCAGAGCCTTGGTATACTGACTAAGGTAATTGTGAAAGAAACAGCCAGATTCCTAGATATGACTTAATTAATGCTATAGCTTTTTTAGGCCCTGACTAGGGCAGAAGTTACTGCATGTTTTGTTTGAATGTACAAAAAATTGCTGCTCTCTTTAACATGCTCAGAGTGAGAGGCTGGGATCCTGTAAGCAAACAGATACGATTGTGTGATTGAAAACACCATTTGTGCTTTAAGTCAAAGTGCTGTTAAGGTTAAAAAAACACAGGAGAAGTTTCTCTTCTGAGAGTACTGTAGATCTGCCTAAGGAATCGGAGGAGAATACTAAAAGCTTTGAAACATAGACCTAAAAAGTTTGAGAATAAGTACATGAATTCATGCAGTTATTTTTAAAAAGAAGGTGTTGAATTCCATTGCACTGGACAGGACAACCGCTGTGGTTTTGTCCTCTGTAAAACTAAGTAGGTCTGAGAGATATCAAAACTGATTTTGAAAAGGCTTGAGTCTTGGACAAAACAGTAGAGCAGTAATCAACTGAATTTTCAAAATTGTACAGTTAGTCATGAAAGTTGTTATTGACAGCCCTAAGGTAGCAGTAGCAACAATAAAAGCAACCCAGTATTTTTAAGCAAATCTGCAATTTTAATCATGCCTTTGCAATCTATCAGTAATTGCAGTTAAATTTGCAGATTTGAATAGCCCATTTAATAAAACTTCCAATGCTAGTCAGGCTTTGAGTAACTCACTGATTGCTCAGTTATTCATTTATTTCTTCTGAATTTCCCAGGAAAATGATGAGGAAGCAAGAAAAATTGCTAAAGAAGGTCAACTAATGGCAAGAGAATTACTTCAGCCTCACAAGTTTTACTGCTACTATTATAAGGTGCTGCAGGTAAGTGCAATAAATCACTTTATTACTCTTCCCACAGCTGCTACTGCTAGCAATGTTACAAATTTCATATTCAGTCCCTACTTAAATTGATAGCAGCCATGGTACATATTATTCGTAGGAGATGAGTGTGAAGAGCTTTGCTAAACCCTGCTTCATCATTAAAAAAAGCTACCTGACATAATAGTTATTTTACAGACTCAGGAATTTTTTCTTTGCCCCCATCCCCAATCAGCCCTGTTTTCATTGTCACTTGGTATTTGGTTTCCAATAGATGTCTCTAGGAGATAATCTGTATATCCAGTTTTCTTTCTTTTTACCTTCATACTTCTCACACATCATGAGCTACCCTACTACAAAGCAATGAATATATGGAAAGGAAGTTCCAGAAGTGTGACTAGTATAGTGTAGGGGGTGAAGCAGGCCCGGTAGTCATTTCTTCCTTTGAAAATGCAAATCTCTAGTGAGAGAAGTTCTCCTCTCTGAAAGTATGGATTTCTTTTTCCTGTACTGCTCTGCAGTTAGATGTCAGCTTCACCAGCCACAGGTTAACACAGAGTTTGGAAGTGTTCATTGTACAAAAATGACATTTTTATGCATTATCTGCATAAAGGGTTAGGCACAAATGATGACAATATTCAAGTTTCCATAATAATAGGCAGAAACATGAAAGGAGGTTTTCAGAGGCAATGTAGCCTATTAGTAGGTGTGTTACAAAGACACCTCATGCAGAGGTTGTAAACAATGACATAAGGAGCCTGGATAAAGGTAGGCTTCTGAGTGGAAGGGAGGAGGAAAATTCTGCTTCATGAATTATATGTTGGTGCTTATAGCATTCTTAAGTGTTGTTTACATATTTCAGAAATATGCCGAACGCCAAGCCAGCAAACCTGAAATACGGGATGGAATGGAACTTGTACCTCAGCCTGATGACAGGGATTCAGTGTGCAGTTGCCACAGGAAAAAGCCTTTAAGGGAAGATCTATAACTGTACTGGATGGAGAAAATGACCCACTTAAAATGCAAGAATAGGAATTAAGCTGTGAAATCCAAGACTCTTATGCCGTAGCAGACGTTCTTAGTTGTGTATTATTCTTGTATTTTCATACCCTTTTTCACACTCGTTCTGATCTACAATGTTGGTTCTCACAATTTTGGCTCCATGACCACCACCAGACAGACACTGAGCCTGCAGTGGGGAATGTCTGGGGGATTTGTTTGATGCACTGCACCGGCAGGAAGAAGAGCACAGAGCTGCTCATGTTCCAGATGGGATCTATTTACCCAAGTTTTATGAGGAACTAGTCACCACAAAAGATCTTGCCATGAGTCAGTGCAAGTTATTCTAAAGGAGCATTTGTGATACATTGAAACAGTGTTATGAATTCTTCATAAAGTTTACCTCAGTATTAGATTGTTTCTTGTATGCAAAACAATTTTCAAAGTAGACAAAAATTAATATTTGAGATTTATAGATATCAGATCTGGTTATGCTTTCACAATATTTTGTGGTGTATGACAGGTAACAGACAACTTGATGTAACACTCATCAATTTTAGAGGAAAATGGAGAGGAAGGGGAGAGATTAGAAAAATATGTTTGTAAGCATCATGGCTGTGAACCACCAGAATTAAGTGCTGCTTTAAAACAGACCCTGTAGCTATCACAATCACAGTGGTTTGGGTGCCAGGTCACCACCCTGAAGATCTGTTCCCTGCCAGTGACTGTGAATGTAGGCACAGATCCACAAAAGGCTTGGGAATTTCAGGCCATGGGAAACACTGGTGTCTTAGTTCAACACCACCATCTACAGTATTCTAGACTACATGAAATCTGAAATTTGTTAGCAGAGTTTTAGACCACCTAGGTTTAACTTTTGTGTAATAGTCTAGGGGTTAGAGTCCATGTAAAGCAGTTGGGAAGCTGGTTGTCCTCCGTGGTTTAATCAAAGCCATTTTTTCCAGAGGGTGCCTTAGCTCCAAACTGGACAAGAGGTTTTCACATCTTCTACTGAAGTTTCTGTGCATCCATGAATCTAGCAGTGTGAAATTCACAGGGGCAGAAAGATCTGGTCATGTCTTTTTGATAAAGTCTGCCTTTGGATGGGGAAGAAGAAGAATCCTAGTCCTGGATGCAGCTCCAAATACCCCTGTTGGTTTTTGCCCAAGTTTGTCTACTTTAAAATGCATAAATAGTCCTGGAAGGAGACACCAAGACCAGTGCCCACAAGCACCCATTTCTGTGTTTTCATCTTGGCTAATGCAGCTTGCCTGAGCAGCTTCTCAGTCACTACAGTCAGATGAAAGCTTTCATGGATACCAAATTCTCCCTACACTAAAAAGAATGGAAATGTCTTCAGACAGTGGACTTGTCTGATTGATTTGATTTGATGCACAAAATTTAGTGCTCTGCATGTCATGCAGGCTTTGCTCTTGGTTCTGTGCTGCAAGTTACATAAAATTTCTGCATTAGAAAGGCAGTATGCTAAATATGGAAAGAAATTTGTCTTTCTGAAGAGGTCAGTGCAACTGTCCATCCGTCTTTTATTACATTTTGCCAGTTCAGAAAAAGTCCCGTATCGTGTTGCTCTACCCATAATCCTCTTTGTTCTGGTTCTAACACTCATATTTATAGGAGTTGTATTTTTATTTAGCATGAAAATCAGTCCTAGAACTTCAGGCTATAAATATATGTTCAACTCATCTGACATAAATTTTTCTACATCAAAGTTCAGGAACAGGGTTTCATTGCTGAAGCTGACTCTGAAGACTGAGTATGCGCTCCCCTTTTGTTCTATGTGTACAATCATTTTTACTGTATTACATGATCTTATTTTGGGGGAATTACCCATTATGCCATGTGCTTTTTATATTCACCAGTGTTTACGGAGGTGGTGTGCTCAGCAAAGGCAAGTAAGCATAAAAGATGGGTGAACAACAGTTTTCCACATATTTCAAATCAAGAGTCCAAAAGGGATTCATTTTTATTTTTTTAAATGGGAGAGAATAAGGGGTGTCATGGTTATTTGGAAATGTATGGACCTATGTAGGAAAACTTGCCTAGCTTGAAACAGAAGTCTTTCAAACTGAAAGAAGAATCAGATAAATTTTAAATTATGAATATAATGTGAATGCTTTATCCCTCCTTTCTTCCCTCATAAAAAGAGAAAGAAACTATTCTTAATTCTTCTCTGCCAAAAAAAGTCCTTGCTTTTGTAATAAACATCTCTCCAAAGCAAAGACTAGTTTGTCAACAGGGTGCCTTACAGCTGCTTTTATAGCTTACAGGCAAGAAATATCCTGAAAAATATGACTGCATTCATCTTCTTGCTGTAATGAAAAAAATAGTGGAGAAATAGTGGAACTTTTACTACAAGTCTAGAGTAATATGAGAAAATCTGGTTCAGTTTACAACCAGAGCTCTTCCAAAGGTGAAAGAAGGCAAAGTCTCTCTTCTTTCCATTGGTGCTACTATATGCAATTTAAATTGTAATGAAGAGTGATCATAGCAATTGTCCCACCAGGCCAGGAAAGGTGTCAGATCTATTTGAGTTTGATGAGAGGATGATACCCATTGGCCTGGTGTGTTACAGGAAATGCTAAATAATGAGTAACACCTGGTTTTGCAAGTAAAGTGTAATACATTAAATAGAATTTTTTAAGTGGCATACATAGACTGGACTTTGTATTATTCTGTGGTAGTTCTTGAACAATGACTGTTCAAAGGTTTAAAAATCTCTTGGTGGTGATCATTTTGGAAAACTGTTACCATACCACAGTATTTTGCTATAGTAATTTCAGTTTTTAAATATAGAGTAAAACCTGTCCTGTTTCCATCAGGGATTTACCAGTGATGACAGAGGCAGATTTATTTGTTTGAAATAGTATGTCCTAAAGTCCAGGGCCGATGTTCTCAAACACAGGAATCTGCAGAGAAGGGGTTTACTTACAGAAATGTTGGGAAGGCAGTTCTTTGTTTTCAGATTTCTTCAACCTTAACAGTGGCTTCACATAAGCAGTGAACACTGCTTTTATGTTATGTGATATGTATGTCCTAATATATTTAGGCACTCATGTTTGGAAATACCCAATCTCAATTTCATCTTGAAATGAGAACTAATAAATCCTGATCTGTTGAACATAAAAGAGATACAGTTTCGTATATATTTTAGAGTGGTTTTTTTTTTTTTACATTTACCTCAACATCACCAATATATTTGTTTTGTGACAGAATTGTGCCAGGCTCGCCTTGCAGATTCATAATTTAAAAAACCCTATTATCAAAGCTTGTCTGATGGAATGTTAGATTCAAGCATCCATGCCGGGGAGCATACGCCCGACATTTATTACATTACAAAGTAAATTATTTAGTTAGGGAGGAGAGCTGACAAGCAAAACATACATCACCTGTTGGAGCATGTCTGAGAAGCTTGCAAAGAAACTATAATAAGGAAAAGAAGCATTATATAAACCTACGATATTATCAGCTCCTTTAGCACTGCAGTTTTGCAAAAATTTTGTCTGTAAGGGCGGTGATGAAGTGCAAGCTGTTATATAAATATATTATTGTTTAAGTTCACAGGATTTAACAGCTAGAGTCTTCTTGTCTGTGAGAAGTTTTATAGCATTTTAATGAGGCTATATGAGTACAATGCTTCTGTGTTGAGTTGTTAATAGGAAAATCTATACTGCAGACAGTTATGGCACTAATTTTGGATTTTGCTGTGAGAATAAGGGAAAAACTATTATTTGCATGTTTGTTTGAAGCCATTTCAAACATCTGTAGCACATTCCTTAATTGAGTCCTGTCAGGTGAGCAGTGATAAGCAGGAGTGTGGCTAGCAGTCCGAGGCAGGTGTTTCTTCCCTCCTGCTTGGCAGTGTGAGACTGCAGCTGGAGTCCCATATTCAACTTTGGACTCCCCTGTGCGAGAAATACGTCAACACCCAACAGGGTGATAAAGGCAATGGGGCACAGGATGCATGAGGACAAGCTGAGTGAGCAGGGCTAGGTCAGCCTTTGAAAGAGAAGGCTTCTCAGAGGGACACAGCAGAAATCCTGACAACAGACACAAGCTGCATCATGGGAAATTCCAATTAGATAAGGGAAAAAGAATCCTAAACTGCTATCCCCAAGGAGATAAAGCTTGTTCTGTGCGACCTCCAGATGTTCATTTTTCTATGAACTACACTTCAGTCACACAACAAGCATTTATCTAGTCACATAGCAGAGGGATGAACCCAGCTCTTGAGTGTCTCCAAGAGGCAGCGTAGCCTTTCTGTGCTGACACTTTTGACACTATTCATGGTTATGTCTCCCTTGATAATACTGACAAAGTTTTGCACGTATTTTTGTGTTGGCTTGTAAGGCTATAAAGTTATATATCAATTATACTTTTATTTTATAATATTAATATGTATAATATAATGATTTACCTTACTAATGTACATTATCACAATATATCCTAGTCATGCAGTACACAGAAGATTTGACAGAAGTGAGATACATTGATTTGGTATTACAGGCCTGCACTGAAAGTTCTCGCTCAAGAAGCCGAATATATACTTTACAGGTATGAGACAATTGTAAAATATTGTAAATACAGTTATGAACCATCAAAGTAATTGCTCTTAAGCAGTCAGTGAGAATATTAACATATTTATAAGTTACGGCTTAAATGCCAGCGTACTCTGTAGGCCACTGGTGAATGAACATGACATATCCCCCTCTCACTCCCAGTACTAAAACAATCAGGATCCATCTGTACCACAGGTTTGCAGTATGGTGTGGAGAGACTCAAGACAGCTCAGCAGCATGCCAGAAGGGCCTACCCATCCCACAGGGCATGTGAAACATGATAACCTTCCTGCTGAAAGCCCACAAAGTGCATTGGCCTGGATGGAACCTGTCTGAGAGATGATCAGTCCCAGTTGTGCTTGTGAGACCTTAACTTCCCCTGTAGCTTATGCAACTCAAAGAGGTCGTTTCCCATGAGCAGGTGATTTTGCCTATCTTTGGGTCAACAGTAGCCACACTTTCAGCTAGTCTTCGTCTCCCAAAATGCCCAGCCAAGCTGTTTCACCACTCCAGCTGCAAAGATCTGCCATCTCATGACTGATACCCACGATAAACCAAAATGGTTCCTACCACATTAATATCCTGCAGGTCCAACGCCTGATTTCATCTTGCATGTTACTCTCACCAAATTTTAAACTTGCAACAGAAAGGTATTTGAGTGTCTTATTAACATTAACAGGTAAATCTGCTCTCAGAGTGAAAATAGTTTAGAGTGAAAACTGGGTTTGCTTCCAAATGATGATGTTTTTTGCTCAGGACCATCAGCTTTTGCCTCAGGAAGACGGTAGTTTTGTCAGCACAGGTCATTTCATTTAATGAAAAAAAAAAGAAACATTATTAACCCAAACCAAACAAAAACCACTCTGCTGGTAATAATTGTTACTCTTTTTTAAAAAGATGCCTGA